ATCCCAGCAGAGTCGGAGCGGAGCTCATGTCGGACAACATCTCCAGGACGCTACGCTCCATGTGACTAGTAAGTCAAATCTCAAATAACTGCCCTGATGACTTTTGTTCTACCCGCTTAAATGATAGAAGTACTTGCGCTGTACACTCTATAAAGACTGTGTCTGTTCCCCGAATAGTGAGGTCAAAATATAAATTTAATGCAGGATCTAGAAAAAATCTGTTCATGATTAAACCAGAAAAATTTTAAATAAATGAACAAAAACAATTTTTAAAGTTTGGGCTCCTAAACATTAGATCACTCTCACCCACTTTGACAGCAGTGCACACCCATCTGAGGCCGACCTGTTTTACTTCATGATCACCCCAGATACTTCTACAACTAACCCGCTTTGTAAGTTCTCATAGCTACACCTTAAAGAAGCACATCATTTTGGGAAAATTTCCTGTGTATTTGCTGGTAAATTACTGAGATACTTTTATAAAGATTAATGTTGATTATATACTGTACCTAGTCCAACAAAAAATGTAAATGATGCCACTTAATCTCCGTCCTGTCATTCCATCCCATAAAAAAGTGTGCATCTTCAAGACATGAATGACGATATTAACCCCAAAACTCTGACACCCAAGAAACCATAAAATAAATCCATATGAATGGAGCCGTGTAATCTACTTTTGGGCCAAACTGTTCAATGAATGGTAAGGAGCAGTTTCAGTTATATTTCCACTTGAACTTGGTTAGGCATAGTCTGATCACAAACCATTCTTGATCTGGAATTATTAGCCAGACACACTGAACCGTGCTGTAGAATGCCTGGAGTGACGTCGCTGCTCAGGATTGTCTTTTGTCTTTTGCTTAGCCAACAGTTTCTCTGTAGCTGGCCGTGCCTGCTATTTGAGCGAAGTAAACAAGTTAATAGTAAAATTAAATTAAACATTTAATCTTTCATGACGTGTGCCATTTACATCTAGGACCGTATTCTAACTCTTCCATTACTAAGGTAACGACTGACACATTTATGTTGCATTCCAAAGAGCTCTGTTAACAGCCCAACATTGAAAAATTAAACCATATCCGTATTGGCTTGGGCCGGATCAGCACAAAATGGAATGGTTAAGCAACAAAAATGGTTTGGCCTGACAGTGGAAAAGCGGCTCTGATTGCTATATGATCAACTGTCTAATGTTTTGGGTAAATAGACAGAAATTTATATCGGATTTCACTGAAAATTTCTTTATTTGTGTTCCAAAAAGTCATGTTTTTTCAGTAAATTATCACATAAATTTCAAGTTTGGGTGAGCTAACCCAATGGCATGGTAGTGTAGGCAGGACAGATAACACTGACAACTTATCCATATTTCCCATCTAATATTGTTTGTATTTGGTTTTATACAGGTGTCTGATGTTGATGCAGTCTGGGCACTAGTATCTGTTGGGTTGCTGACTATCATTGAAGATGAAGTACTTCTCCAAATTGTCTCTGCCTTGACCCTGTGTCTTTTGCCATCATTGTTCAGGGTAGTACTGCAAAGAACAGTCTCCAGGGTCTACCTCAGCCATTTGCTTACGGACTGCCATGTGCTATGTTTGGATCACTGGTACAGTACATTTGGATTACCCTAATACTGTGAAGAACACTTACAGTGTGATGCTTGACTTGGGACAGGGAAAAAAAAAAATACATGTGTGGCCAACCCAGTGCCATGCTTATTCATTGTACTGCTACCTCCACTGTTTACAAGAAGCATACCCTAATCAGATTGTTTTTGCTTTGTTTCAAAATGTTTGTAATACAAGTTAAAACTGCACTGAGAAAAAAAGCAAAAAGCATTACATTTAACTTTCAACTACCTTAAATTTACGTGTAATTGTATGTGTGTGTGATGAATGGAACATTGTTGTCAGTAATTTGTAATGGATATTTGAAGCACTTAAGTTAGTGGAGTAACGCTTACTGGGTTTTTTTAAGGCAATCGGTTTGCATGCTTTTAGAGAGTATAAGTAAATTAAGTTTAAGTAAATACAACTTAGAAATTCCAAGTTGCAGGAAATATTACACGAGTTGGCTCAACTTAAATAAAAGAGTTGTTTGAAATACACACATAGTATATTGTACTTATTAATTTAGTTGTTGAAAATAGTGATTGAGTTACCAGAACTTGCGTGTAAGTTTACAACACTAAATAAACCTTTGTTATTACAAATTATTATTCTTATTTCACTTTGCTTGGTTTTTTTCAAGGCAATCGATTTGCATGCTTTTTTTAAGTAAGGTTTACTAATTGGAATTTACAGTGAGGTTATGCTGCTACTCTAAACTTCTATTTCATGATATGAAGTTAATAAGTTACTTTTATTAGCAACAAAAAAAAGAATTTTTTTTTTGGCTGGATTAATGGGGGCCAAGCATAAAAAGCAGAACATACAGTACATTGAAATGTGACGCACAGGACTGCAGAACTAGTTTTAGGCAGAGCGGGTCAAAGGTTAAGTGTAGATTCAAAGGTGTCATATTATGATTTTTTATATATATTTTAAAATGAGACTTTGATGTATAGTGTAAACATACTGTAATTTTGAGAACTTCCTGCTCAGTCAAAAAACCATGAGTTGATTTTAGTTTATGGGTAGTTAATGAGTTAGTAATGATGGGCCCCTCAAAGTAAAGTCATGACAAAATGACACATTAACAAATCATCAAATAAGATACCATTAAACATGCAGTAAGGGTCATATTTATTCCTTTAAACCACCAGTACAACAAACAAATATAAAGGTTATTTATAGTTCTTTTATTATTTATTTACATCATTAAACATAACGTATATGGACTCAAAAGAAAGCCCAAACATACCTGTAAGGACACACATGAGGTCAAATATGACTCGTCCAAATTAAGCTAATAGAAGCATAAGACAAACACATTGCTGTTAATTACTCTACATACCTAGCAAGAGCCAGCATGGTAATTTCAGAGTTTTGGGTTCAAATCTCCATGTTTCCGATTTCCCTCACAATATGCTATTACTTGCCTATCACTCAATAAATGATACTGTCAGATACTGTTATTATCAAATATTTATTGTAATTATTATTGTATTCAAAAAGAACAAAATATGTGTTGTTCATATCACAAAGCTTTATTGCCAGGTATGTGATAGAAGCTTCCACAGTGTAACAG